GCTCAAAGATTACCAATTTTTTTTTTTGAAAAATGAGCAGGGGAACTTTTGGCCCATGGTTGGGTTGTGGACTTTTTTTGAATAATTTTTTCTGTCAAAATTAAAACCTAGTTTTATTACGGGAAAGCTACGCAGTAAAGCTGTATATTCCTTACAATTATTTTCCAAGTTAAACCTTCGTTTTTAAAATTGTTCTTTATATTAAAACAAGATTTCATTATTAAATACATTGTTATATTCAAAGAAAATTTTTATTGGTATTTCAGGAACGATTTCCCCCATTATTTTGATTTTTCCCCACTGTTTGATCTAATTTTCAGAAGCAAAATTGCTTGGATATAATTCTTGATTAGAACCCACCCAAAGGTGTATAAAGAAGTGTTGCAAAAGGGACAAAAAGAAACCACAACCCTCACCTGAAGGAAGGACCAAGGCTGGCAGCAGGGCAGATTTCTGTATTTGCTAACATTAAAGGACCACCATTTTATTAAAGATTTATGAAATGTTAAAACTTTTTCTTTCATTTATATGATTAAATTTGTATTGACAAAAAAATGAACAAAAATATCTTTTTGAGAAGCGAGGTTTTTTTCTTTTAATTTCTTTTATTAAATAAAGGTAAATTGAACATCAAAACAAAAAAAAGGGGTATTTTTTATCTTCTGATAAATAAAAAATGTAACTATGTAACAAAAAATTTCACAGTGCATTACATAACATTTTATTTTTTGTTATTAGCAACTTTAATAAATTTCAGCCACAAACAGAGCGGCCAAGAAAGAAATTCAAGTTTAATAATTTGTTTTTGTTCAAAAAAAAATATTTGGCATATAATACCTTTAAAAAGGCGATAAACAATATGAACTGCTATTCAAGACTACAAACCTGGGTTGAAAAAATGCAATCTTTGTACGCAATAATTTTAAAGCTGCATGCCACCTTCAAAGATTAAACCCAAACATATTTTTCAAAAAAAAAAACAAGAAAATGTACTGTGAATTTTGAAAAGTAAAGATTTCCATGATTCAAGTAATAATTAACATTGAGTTGATTTTTGGCAGTATTTCCCATCATATTTTTGTAAGTTTGCTGTTTGCAAATGTAATAATTTAACAACTTCCTTATTCACTTCATAATATTTTGCTTTTTAATATATTTTTCAAAATTTTCATACAAAATTTAGTATGAATCTGTAAGGTATGCTGCTTTAAAAAAAAACTGGTAAAACATAAATAATACTCTACAGTACCAATTGTTTTAAAAAAACTCCACAAAAATTAACAGTTTACAAAAAGTTTAATTATTGATAAGCCCTTTTTTTCAAAATTAATACAACTTTCTGACACAAAATATGCCAACATGTTAAAATTTATTGGCCAAAATAAAAAAACCCATATTTAATTTTTCCATGATATTTTAAGGTGCACTTCCCCCTCACAACTGGAACACCTTTGGAGCTGAACCCAAGAACCATGGATTTCCCTCACAAAACACAGACATAATAAAACAATACAATTTCGCACATTTTTTAAACTAAATTCACATATTTTTTTACAAATGTTAAAAAGTTGGGATCTTCTAAGCGATGGGAACTGGTTTTGATAAGCACCAAATTTCCAGAAAAGTTAACCATTTTGATTCAAAACTTGCCTTTTTTTTACCCACCATCAAATCAGGCTTTTGTTCCATAATCACAAGAAATAGTGTAGTTTTTGCTTAAATGTAGGTTAACAGAAAAATGTTGGGATCTAAATTTAATACTTGTTTGTTATATATGAGAAGTAATTTAACAGACACTTCTATTCCCATGTTTTAAAATAAAATCCAAACTAAAAAATCATTGACATTGTTCGTTATACCTTTGTGGTTTTCAATAACTGTTTGGCGTCGGAGTTGCCGTTGTTACGTGGAATTTTATTCATTTCATCTCATTCCCCTCAAGTCAGCCCAGCCGTCCTTTTTTTTTTTTGTTTGGGTTAAAAAAAAACCTTCCGGGGCGGGCCCAAAGTAATTCCCACCTCGTCTTTGTATGCCGTCTATAGGAAAGAAAGTTTAAATATATAAACATTCGGTAAAACTTTTTCAATTACATTTGCTTTATACAAATAAATTTCTATAATTTTGAAAAAAGGCTATGTTTGGCAGGAGTATATTACAAGGTTTTTAATTTGGCAGTATAATTTTTCTATGGTTAATAAAAAATTTTTTTTAATTCAAACAAGAATAAAAACAAAACAATTTCTTTTGGCTTTTTGGAGCTGTTGTGTCAGGCAAATACAAAAATTGTTGCAATTCAAATTTAATTTTTATTTTATTTTAAAAGTCCAAAAACATATGTGTATAACCTTTTATTTTACAAACACATTTTACATTTAAGCGAAAATATGGAAAATTCATACTTTAATTTTATTCAAGATAATAAAACAGAATTTCAGATAAAAAATTACAGAAATTTAAATTTAACAAAAAACGGGCCAAAGTACTAGTCAATTAAATTTTCACTCACCTTAAACTTTTTTACCCTGATTAAACAAAAGTAATTTAACTTATACTTTTTGATTGCAGTAAATATTAAACAGACCACCCCAGTAAAGCATTAAAACCATTCGAAAAGTTAGTTTGTATTGCTTTTCTTAACTTATCAAATCCAAATGGGATAAAATCTTAAAAATCCCTTGCCCAGATTTGAACCCACGTGTGTAAACAGGCAAGTGCCAAAACCTTCAACACAGAGGGGGTTTTCTAGACAAATAAAAGGTTTTTTTTGTTTTTTTTTTTTATCGTTCCCAAACCAACTACAGTAACGAATCATATGGCCACTTTCCCCATTATTTACTGGTGGGAAAGGAAGGAAACCTTTCAGGTTGCCCCTTTTTTAATTTGCAACCTGAGTAGAACACCGATATTTCTGTACACTAGCTGGATGCTTCCTTTTTCACAATGAATTAAAAGTTTTTATGACATAACTTACGTGGTAGGTCTGTTAGGCTTTTGGTTGACGTCTGTGGCTGTGAGATTGAGGAAGATTGACTTAGCAGAAGCTCCCTGGTGGGGCTATCAACTATTTCCACCTCCAAACAAGTAAAGAGTACAAAAAGTTCCATAAGAAAAAAAAAAAGGGAAGATTAATATAAGGGAGACCATTCCACCAGATTGTTTATGATGTCGATGAAGAAGAAAGGGGCCTTTGTCTTAGTTGTAACCACTCGTCTAAAATAAAAAAAAATAAATTTCATACCATTGGTAAACATTGGAAAAAAATAGTGACATTAAAATTTTTTTACAAGACTTAATCAAATTTTTTCGATTTGATTTCAAAGAAAAATCTTTTCTGAGCTTTGAAACATTCACCACAAAAACTTGAGAAAACAAAAAAGTGGAAAGTATAAATTTCTAATATTTTTAAATATGTGTATTTCACTTTACTGAAGGGGCTATCAAAACAGGCTGTTGGTCTGCAAGTTCAAGGTCAGAAAATGACCTTGACATATCTTTTCAGTAAAACGTCGTTTTGGGAATGTTGGACAGTATTGTGACAATTTTTTGTCCTTCTCTTACAAAATTTAAAATTACCAAAATTTATAATTAGGGCTTATAAAAAATCTCAATTTAGGGTTTTGAACTCTAAAATACGTAAATATTTACCTCCAACTGAACAAAAACAAAAATATTTTTTAAAAAATTTTAGTTATTTGTGTTGCAGTTTTAATCAATTATTTTTTTTACCATTAAATTCCTTACAAAATCAACAAATTTAATTTGATTGGGGCCACAAATAATTTTTTAAAAAGGGTTTAGTTTAAACAAGAAAAGTTATTGAATAGTGTTGAGTTATCTTTATTTCTTTTTTTTTTTTTTTCTGCTTGTCAAAACATATGGGTTCAAGTTTTTTTTTAAATTTTTTGATAATGAACAAAGGGTTATTTCAAATCTAAAAAAGGGTGAGCAGGAATTCATTTTTTCAGGGAGTTATTTTGAAATTTGGGGGGTATTATAAGTAGTTGTTCTTTCAAACAAAATTCATTTATCTTCCAAAGTCCCCACTTAAAAGCTTTTTCAAAAAACTTTAAGAAACCTGCATTGGATCCCTTTTTTTATTTTTAAATATTTTCTATAAGTTATTATCTTCCCTCATAAATAAAAGTGTCAGTTATATTAAGGGTTTAACCTGTTGTAATGGGGACTTGTTGTAAAGTTTTGCAGAGGTTTCCCAGTTGAAGGGTAACTCTGTGTAACTGATGGAAAAACCATTCTGGCAGTCTCACCTGGGATTCTAGCTGTCTCACTACAAAAAAATTAATTCAATAATTCCCCTAAACAACCTATTCTTTCCTAGTAAACCAGGGAAACTAAAAACTAACATATTAAATAAATTCAAAATAATATCAAACACAGAAATGAATTTTATAATTATCACCTATTACAATATTTTAAATTCCCTTTCCTTCCTTGTAACATGACCAAAAGGGTGGTTTTTATTTTTCCCCTTAAATCAAAATTTTTGGTGTTGTTGTTTTTAACTTCTCATTGAACTTCATAAAAACACACAATTTCTTTCCCATTTTTAGTAATTCTATAACAAACTTTCCTATATAGCTTGTATCATAAGCTCCCCAACCAACAATTTCCAAAAACATGGACTTTTTTCTTCAGTGCTAATTCATTTTATTTTAGCTGTCAATGAAGCTATCACTTTTGCAATTATATTACGGTTGTACTACTACTAAGCTTATGCTGTCCTCAATAAATAATTGATATGATTTTTCCACGTAAATATAGCACTGTATGTTGTTTTTTCTTACTATATGACACCCCAGGCCTACATAATTTAGAACCAATATTCTTTTTTTTTACTAAAAAACTTTAGATTTTTTTATGCTAAAGAAATTGTCTCCATAAGAAAATTTACCACTTTCATAAAACTAAACATTTCTTCTCAATATTTGTTGTTTTTTTCTTATTGTTGTAATAAAACAACTTCTCCACTTGACAAGCCTCACCTTTTTCTTGCCTCCTCTGCAGCAGCAAGTCTCTGTTGCCTCCACTAACTTTCTCGCGTTTCTTTCTCTTCAGCAGCTTGATCTCTTCTCTTGTTTCTCCTTCGTAAAACTTTACCTGTCTCTCTTCCTGTAATCAATGTAAACTTGTATTTACACAAAACTTCAATTTAACTGCCTAATAACTTTTTTTTCAAAAGATTTACTGAACAAAACATTTTTTTTTTTAGAAATTCTTTTCGTAATGACTTAGCGTGACCTTGACCCGAGGCACCCTAACCTGGGACTTTCTCCACATCGTCTTATTATGGTTAAAATATGTTTGCCAATTAGTTTGAATTTTCCTTTGATCTGTCCCAAAAGTAAAGTGCAAAACAAAAATTGCTTACAAACAGACAGCCAGGCCTCAAAACATTTAATTTCTGAATTTTCAGTGTATAAAAAAGGCATGTTTTCATTTAATATTCACTATCATTGGGTAAAATGGAAATCACCAACCATAAGCATGACAAAACTAATAGTAATATTTAATGCTATCTTTCAAAGAAACTATACAGATCTTAACATCCTAAATAATAAAAAATACAAAGTTTTTTCTGTAACCTATCTCTGGCAAATTTGTTGTCTTTATTTTCTCTTTAGCTTTTCTTTTCTTCCTCTTTTTCTTTTTCCTCATTTGTTCTTTTAATTCTTTCATCTGTGTTTTCTTGCTGGGTTTGTTTTTAACTTCTGTAAATCAGATCCTAACTTTTCTTCTCTTTAATTTTCTTCTCTCGACTTTTCTGTAGTAAGAAATATTTTTGTTTTTCAATACTTTTAATACTTCTTTATTGTAAATAAGCACATAGCAGGTCATTTTTTTCAATTGCCTATTTCTATAAGCTTCTAATATATTTAAAAAGTTTTTTTAAATCATAGAGACCCCGCATCTCCACTCTATAAACTTTAAATATCATGCAAACACTGAAAAAAGCAACACACTGTACTGCAATAACCAGTTTTGACCTATTCACAACAACTGTATCAATTCTTTCCAAATGTAAGACTTCACAATGAATTTAACCTTGCTGTTAGAAAACAACAAAACACTATTAAAAAAATCTTTGTTCTCAAACCAAAAGGGTAAATTGCTCAGCGAGATTTTAAATTTTTTCATAAAAATGGCAACCTCAAATTTGAAGAAGTAAAAACCAAATTTTGCCTAATTCTTATTTAATTGTTGCTGCCACAGGGAAATAACCCACACGTAAACCCCACCCCCATCATGTCAAATTATTAATGACCTCCCTGGTTTATTTGTTGAATTTCCCTTATGGTCTTTTTCCTTTCAAGCTTGGTTGGCAAAGCAAAGAAACAAATTTTTTCCACTTATTTTAATTAGACCTGTGGGCTTGTTCTTATTGTTGTTGTTTCTTGTTTTTTGATTTGTAAACAACAATGCTTAACAAGACAAAATTTTTAAAATTTTTTTTTTTTAGGTTATCAAAAAAAAACAAATAAGTGGCTCAACATTCTTCATCAGAAGAAACTTATTACCCCCTAAATTCTTTTTGTGCCCTTTTTGCTTTTTCTTTTCCATTTTTAAAAATCCCTTTTTCCCCTTAAAAAGATAAAAAAAAAACTTTCCCCTTAAAAGTGTAATCACACTGTTTGAGCAATTCCCAAAAAACATACCCCCTGTTTAACATTGTCATCTTTATTTCCAACCCTTTTGTTTTTTTCCCCCCAAAAAAAAAAAATTCTCTTTTTTAAATATGTAAAGTAAATTTGACCCCAGGGGGCAAGGGAAATTTCCCTATAACCAAGTTTTAAACAAAAATTTTCCCAACCCGTAGTTAGCAGCAAAAAAAACATTAAAAAAAATGGACCCAAAAAAGCTTTACAAACCCATGTTTTTTTTGAATCGACTGGAAAAACTTTATGGGTTTCACTTTAAAAAAATTTTAGGGAAAAGAATTTTCTGTAAAGTAATTTCTCTTTTACTAGTCTTTCCTAGTAAGCCAATAAGATAATTGTGTCATCTGTTCATAAATAACGATGTTAAAGCAATATTCTGTGTTAATGTTAAAAGCCTTAAATATTGAGATTTGACCTTTGAACATTTCAGGTCATATTTTTAACACATCAAAGGCAAGCTTTTATATTCCACAGGTTTTATTCAAGTCTAAGCTCTAGTCTAATAAGATTTATAGCTTACTATTCTCTACAGACAACAAGGCAAAACAAAGCATGCTTTTCATGGACCTGTCCATCCAATGTCTGAATAAAATCAAATTCAAAATTTTACGGCAAGATTCTATTATAGAGAGTACAGCTTAATTTTTAAACAATGTACCGGTATTGTTAGAATAAAAACAAGAAAACTGTCGGAGGAGAAGTATTGGCTCGACTTTTCAAAAATTTTCACAAGAGTGTTTATTGAGTATAAATAATGCTAGTTACCTATGAATACATTATAAACATAAAAAATTGACCGAAAAGGTACAAAGGCTTGTTATTTAGATGTTTTATCAAGTAAATCACTCTTAATATTAATAATGCATAATAATGTCCCAAAAACACACAAACTCTTTCAGTAGTTATGGACAGATAAACAGCTTTACTCAAAGCAAAACTTTTCCATGAATTTCTAAGTTGAAAAAGGGGAGAAAAATCAGCCTAAATTGCAAGATAGAAATTATGGATCTTGGGTCAGTGACCTACAATTTTTAAATTCTTAATGCATATGTGAAGTTTTTAAATAAATATCTCTTAATACTTATGAGAATGTAAAACTTGGCATGTAAAACATTAAACCTAAAAGACTAAGTAGGAAAGGGGAGATGAATCAGCCTAAATGCGAGTAGAGTTAGTGGAAACTTTGGTTCAGTGACATACAATTATGACTCTCCCAAAATTATGACCCTAAAGTACATGTGTAAAGTTTCAAAGTAAAATATCTTTGAAGACCTTTAAACTTTTTTAACCAAAATTTCTAAGTTTTCAAAAGGGGGCCAAAAAAACTCTGGCAAAATTATTGCAGACAGAAGTTATGCAATTTTTTGCAAAACTGTTGTAATTGTTACTATAAAAAAAATTATTTGTAAAATTTTTCAATTTGCGGAATAATTCAAGCAATAATTGAGATATTTGGACTTTACAAAAAAACTTAAAAAATTTCTTAGTTATTTAAAGGGGCCCATTCGTCGTAAATTTATGGGTAGAGGGGGCGTTATCTAAACTTTGTCAATTCTGAATGTACATTGGGTTACTATAAATAAGTTTGTAAAGTTTCAAATGAATATCTCTAATATTGAGATATTTGAATTTACAAAAAAACTTAACCAAAATTTCTAAGTTAAAAAAGGGGCTAATTCTGTAAAGATTGTAGACAGAGTTGTCCAACTTGTCAATCTGATGTACATTGTTACTATAAATAAGTATTGTAAGTTTCAATTGAATATCTCAAGCAATAATTGAGATATTTGACTTTACAAAAAACTTTAACCAAAAAAAATTTCAAAGTTAAAAAAGGGGCATAATTTCTGTGAATATTTGTAGACAGAGTTGTCCATAACTTGTCAATTCTGATGTACATTGTTACTATAAATAAGTAGTATTGTAAGTTTCAATTGAATATCTCAAGCAATAATTGAGATATTTGACTTTACAAAAAAAAAACTTTTAACCAAAATTTCTAAATTATAAAGGGGCATTAGTCTATAAATATTATAGGTGAGGGTTATCCAACTTGTCAAATCTGATGTAACATTGTTACTATAAATAAGTATTGTAAGTTTCAAATGAATATCTCAAGCAATAATTGAGATATTTGAATTTACAAAAAACTTTTAACCAAAATTTCTAAGTTAAAAAGGGGCATAATTCTGTCAATATTGTAGACAGAGTTGTCCAACTTGTCAATCTGATGTACATTGTTACTATAAATAAGTATTGTAAGTTTCAATTGAATATCTCAAGCAATAATTGAGATATTTGACTTTACAAAAAACTTTAACCAAAATTTCAAAGTTAAAAAGGGGCATAATTCTGTGAATATTGTAGACAGAGTTGTCCAACTTGTCAATCTGATGTACATTGTTACTATAAATAAGTATTGTAAGTTTCAATTGAATATCTCAAGCAATAATTGAGATATTTGAATTTACATAAAACTTTAACCAAAATTTCTAAGTTAAAAAGGGGCATAATTCTGTCAATATTGTAGGCAGAGTTATCCAACTTGTCAATCTGATGTACATTGCTACTATAAATAAGTATTGTAAGTTTCAATTGAATATCTCAAGCAATAATTGAGATATTTGAATTTACAAAAAACTTTAACCAACGCAGACACCGACGCGGACGCGGACGCCGACGCCGGGGCGACTACAATAGCTCTCATATTCTTCGAATAGTCGAGCTAAAAACAGATTAAAATTCATTACCGTTCAACTTTTTCTTCTAATGGAACAGCAGGGTCACCACTTGCTCCTGTCTGTGAAGTTGATGCCTCATTACTTGCACCTGGTGGATTTACCTGCCCATCTGTAGGTGACGATGCAGTCTGCTGGCCTGTGTTTGGTGTGGGTGGGGTATTACTGGACTTCTGCGCAGCATGCATCTTTTTGTATAAAGTAATAAAGAAAAATCTAAGAGTACATATAATAACTATAACATTTTTATTTCTGAACTGACCTGAATACTAGTAGTCTGTACATGAATCAAAGTTTGAAGAGAATTATCAATCACAATTGCTGTAAATTGAAAATACCTTTATCATTCAAACAGTCAGTAACTGTTTTACAAAATATTTGTCACAGATCAATTATTATTCTCATATGTAAGTTTGATACTTACAATTGTGATTATTGCACACTTTTGTTTAATCTATACTACCATACATATACATGCAGTGAAACATTTGCCAGAAATAATTAACGACAAGTTCATGTAGACAATCAATATAATTAAGTACATGTATGATACATGGAACATATGTTCACTTTATGACAATCTATTCCACTTATATAGCCAATAAATGATATAGAAAGCTTAAGCCTGTTATTAAATCTACACATTAAAATATTCACTATGAGTCTACATTTTGCACTTATCTAATAGTTAATTCATTTATTAAACATGAACAATTTCCTTTGCAACTTTTCATAATATTTCTAATGAATTTCAAGAATCAGATAAAAAGCAAAATTGTTCTGTTTCTTACCTGTTCCACTTGTTTTAACTTGTTTACAAACTCGTCAGGTTGTACATGCCCTCCTATCACCTCAAGTGGAACTCCCCCTTCTCCTATACAGAATACAGATGGCACAACCACTACAGGATCTAGGCAATATTTCAAGGACTATAGATCTATTCTGTTATATTTTCATGATATATAGGCCAGCACTGTAAATCTATAGAGACTTCACTGAGGTTTTTTGACATGACATACATGACAAAGCATGAATCTTGGATGATGACCAAAAAATTTATATAATTAAAAAGGGCCCAAATATTTTTCTATGTCAACAAGCCTAGATTTACAGGCCTTTGGCAGTGACCTCCAATTATGATCCTGAAGACATGCATTAAGTTTCAAATGGATATAAACAAAACAGTACCTTCCATGCAAAACTTTAACCAAGAATTTTCTAGTTCACAGAAGACAATAAACCTGTCAGAATCCATGCCAAGAATAATGGACATTTGATAGTGACCTCCAGTTAAGATTCAAAATCCATGTCAGATTTATGAGCCTTGCAAAACGATCATCAAGACATGTTATAGGTTTAAAGTAAAAACCTTCAGTAATTTTGAGGGACATGCAAAACTTTAACAAACAAGAGGGCCATGATGGCCCTAAGGTCGCTCACCTGTATGTAGGCCCCCGGAACGGGGCCAGTTTAAACCCCAGGGCTTTTATTTGAACAAACTTGGAAGACACCTATAAGAAGACGTTTCATGATGTACACACTTATAATGAGAAACAATGATCTGCCCTCCCCTACACCCGGCAGGGCCAATTTTAACCAAGGGCTTTTATTTGAACAAACTTGGTAGACACCCATTAGAAGATGTTTCATGCTAAACATCTAAGCTGTAGCTCATTGTGTTTTTTTAAAGAAGATTTTTTAAGTTTTTACTATACACATATAGTTAAAAACAATGACACCCCTGGGGCAGGGCCAGTTTTGACCCCAGGACTTTTAGTTGAACAAACTTTGTAGACACTTACTAAAACATGTTTCATGCTTAATATCTAAACTCTAGCTATTTGGGTTTTTTCAAAGATGTTTTTTAAGTTTTTCCTATACACATATAAGGAAAATCAATGACCCCCAGGGCAGGGCCAATTTTGACCCTAGGGCTTTTATTTGAACAAACTTTGTAGACACTCACTAGAAGATGTTTCATGCTTAATATCTTAACTCTAGCTATTTAGGTTTTTTCAAAGAATACTTTTTAAGTTTTTGATATACACATATATAAGGAAAATCAATGACCCCCGGGGCGGGGCCAATTTTGACCCCAGGGCTCTTATTTGAACAAACTTGGTAGACACCCATTAGAACATGTTTCATGCTAAATATCTTAGCTCTAGGTCTTTGAGTTCTTTAAAAGAAGATTTTTTAAGTTTTTACTATATACATGTACATATAGGGAAAATCAATGACCCCCTGGGGCGGGGCCAATTTTGACCCCAAGGATTTTATTTGAACAAACTTGGTAGACACCCATTAGAAGATGTTTCATGCTAAATATCTTAGCTCTAGCTCTTTGAGTTCTTTAAAAGAAGATTTTTTAAGTTTTTATTATATACATATACGGAAAATCAATGACCCCCTGGGGCGGGGCCAATTTTGACCCCAGGGCTTTTATTTGAACAAACTTGGTAGACACCCATTAGAACATGTTTCATGCTAAATATCTTAGCTCTAGCTCTTTGAGTTCTTTAAAAGAAGATTTTTTAAGTTTTTACTATATGCATATAGGGAAAATCAATGACCCCCCGGGGCGGAGCCAATTTTGACCCCAGAGCTTTTATTTGAACAAACTTGGTAGACACCCATTAGAACATGTTTCATGCTAAATATCTTAGCTCTAGCTCTTTTGGTTCTTTAAAAGAAGATTTTTTAAGTTTTTACTATATACAAATAGGGAAAATCAATGACCCCCACGGGGCGGAGCCAATTTTGACCCCAGAGCTTTTATTTGAACAAACTTGGTAGACACCCATTAGAACATGTTTCATGCTAAATATCATAGCTCTAGCTCTTTTGGTTCTTTAAAAGAAGATTTTTTAAGTTTTTACTATATACATATAGGGAAAATCAATGACCCCCTGGGGCGGGGCACTTTTGACCCCAGGGCTTTTATTTGAACAAACTTGGTAGACACTCATTAGAAGATGTTTCATGCTAAATATCTTAGCTCTAGCTCTTTGGGTTCTTTAAAAGAAGATTTTTTAAGTTTTTACTATATGCATATAGGGAAAATCAATGACCCCCTGGGGCGGGGCCAATTTTGACCCCAGGGCTTTTATTTGAACAATCTTGGTAGACACTCACTAGAAGATGTTTCATGCCAAATATCTAAGCTCTAGCTCTTTCGGTTTTTTAAAAGAAGATATTTAAAGTTTTTTCTTTTGGTTGCCATGGCAACCATAGTTCTGCATGGAATTAAATTCTTTGAACAATATTTAAAGGTGACCACCAAAGGAACATTCCTGTGAAGTTTGGATGAAATTGGCTTAGTGGTTTGTGAGGAGATGTCATTTAAAGTAAAAGTTTACGGACGGACGACGGACGGACGGACGCCGGACGAAAAGCGATCACAAAAGCTCACCCTGTCACTTTGTGACAGGTGAGCTAAAAATATTAGTTCATGAAGGGTAATAATTTTGTCATAAACCATGCTAGATTTATTGGCCTTATGTAGTGACCTCCTTTTATGATCTCACATACACAAGTGTGTGAAGATACAAGCAAATATCTTAAGTGGTTGATGACACATATTGTTATACAAAAAGTTGCATGCAAAACTTTAACTAAAATGTTATGCAAATACACATGACTAAGTGAATAGAATAGCCCTACTATTCTTTGAATAGTCAAGTTAATAAATGTTTCTACAACTTAGGGTTACGGTTGTTTTCACATCAGAAAAGGATACAGATCTGGGAAAAGAATTTACACTCTTCACTGAAATTATAAAAACAAAACGGTGTTACACTGGAAAACGATAACTATTAAGTCTTTATTTTTTCTATGACAAATACAAATTTTTCTATTTCACCATAGAGTATCAGCATTTGTTGAAAAAGTTTTTATTTAATACACAAAAAGTTGTTTTTTAAATACACATTCTATCACATTCAATTAAGTACTGGTATATAAGTCATTAATTAGAAATCCACATCACAAACTCATGGGACATCATTTGACATAGTCAAATGAACAAATGACTTGTTACAATAGCACAAATGAAAACATTATGAAACAGAATCAAAATGAATTTATTTGACCCATGTACCAAACAAACAAAACTTAAGCATAATCAAATCTTCAAATTAGACTTATAAATAAGAGATCATTGTCGTTTTTTTTTAATTTAAAATTGTATTTATGAACTTAATATAAACAAATTTTTGAACCAATATTTATAGCTTTTAGGTTTGCTGGTTTTTTTTTTTCCATTTAAATAGCAAATAAATTTAAAAAAATCTATAAACAATTGACTAACCTAGTACTTTCAATCTTGACAGCAACGGCACCATTTTCTTCCAGGCATTTAGACACTGTCTCGCTGTCCCATGTACTGTTCATCTGTTGTGACATATCATCTTTCCCTGAAAAAATTGAAATTTGAAAAAACAGGGCATACTTTTGTATATATACCTGGAATAAGTGTTCCCACATATTTTAGCCTTTACTGTATTCATTTCAATAAAACAATACAGTTTTAGAACTATAGGTTGAGTGTACACAGCCGCCTAAACTTTTACACACTTAATCAAAACTAGCGGGTGCTGTACCCACTTTTTAAAATTTAGCGTCAGCATCAGCGTAACCACTTATTTTATTTAATAAGTTAAAGTTTGCGTACCACCTAAAATATTTTCAAAGTCCATTGACATATGGCTTTGAAACTTTGTACATTTGTTCATCATTATGCTCCAAACCTGTACACAGGAGGAGATAACTGTATCAAGCATTTTGACAGAATTATGCCCCTTTTTCGACTTAGAATTTACGTTAAAGTTTGCATACCACAACAAATATTTTTGAAGTCCATTGACATATGGCTTTGAAACTTTGTACACTTGTTCACCATTATGCCCCCAACCTGCACACAGCAGGAGATCACTGTATCAAGCTTTTTTCTTACAATGTTATGCCCCATTTCTATCAAGCACTGAGAATAGTTTAGCATGCTAACTTACTTTCAGCTCTTGTTTAATAAGATACATGTTTATGGTGAGCACTGATGTTATCTGACCACTCTAAATAATTTTTTGCATTTCTGTAAGCATTATACTCAGATATTTTAAAAGACTAACCAGCAGTAACTGTTGATAATGGAAAATGTTAAGGATAAAATATAAATCTCCTATAATAATACAAAGACTGCCCCCTCTCCCTCTTTTTATAAATCTAACATTACAGGTAAATACCAATGGATATTAACAGAATTATTTGCCAGGGCCACTTAAGTGAATTATCATTCATTGAAAGGAATTATGGCAAAACGTAAAGTTATTTTAACTTTCACAGGTCAGTTTACTCACTATGTACCCTTGAATGGGCATAAGGTAGAAACAGCTCTGATTAAAGAGTAACAAAATTTATCATGCAACTGCTATGGTAACTGCCCGATAACACTTGCCTGATAATTATTTTTGATATCAGGTCAGTAACCTGATATCAAAAATAAGCCCCGCCCATTTTTAACGGACTTTTTTCAATTGCTTATATTCTCATTTTCATCAGCATGTGAATTCTACAATGTAATCTCATACCCTTACAAGTCTTGAATCAAGATGCCATATTTATTTGTTTATTATTTCAATTTCGATTTCAATTACGAATAAATTAGATAGCGAATAGTTAAGCACCAACTCAATAAAGTGACGTCATAATTTATATTGCAAATGACATCATCGATGTTCACGTCATACTATACATGTAATCATGTAAACAGGCTAGACGATTTTATTTGAGAACTTGTATTTGTAAATGTTTACTTTATTGCGCTGGATTTTTATTCAATAAGTGAACAAATTGTTTCGTTTAAAAAATAAGAGGCATGTTTGTGTAGCTTGTGTTTGATTGCCGATTTGACTTTTGTTTGATTGAAATTATCGTGAACTTTTGAATTTGACAATTCACGACACAAAGTGCAGTAAAGTTTATGTGATTCTTAGGGATATTTTGGATCGATGTTTAAAGGTAAGAATTTTATCGTGTTACATTCTGTTGTATCTTTTATCGCAGGAAATAATCTCGAGTCGAAAGAAAACATGGCCGCCATTTACAAATTCTAAGTTTCAGGGGCGGAGGAATTTGTTTTTCAAGAATTTTTTCTTTGGACAAAAATGCCCCTTTCTACGAAATTCGGTATTTAAAAGTAGAGTATTTTGTAATTTTGGCAGTTTTTATGTGTAACATGATAAATAGAAAAACATGCTACTGTCTTTTGATATCAATTTTATCAGGCTCGGCTGATATAGGCAGAAAGGGCTCGGCAATCCTCGCCCTTTCTAGCCCATATCAGCCTCGCCTGATAAAATTGATATCAAAAGACAGTAGCATGTTATTCTCTATATGGCAGACAAGATACTCAGAAACACTTGTAACGCTTCGCTGATAGGTTGAACACCACCATTTCATTTGCATACATATTATAGTGGTACTAAATACACACATTTACTAATTTAACATTTATAAAGAAAGATTTGGTTTATATATTGAAAATCTATGCGATTTTTTCCCCTATATAAGTGGTACCGAATAACGGACCCATTCACAATCACAAACGGACCTTCACAATTTTCAGACTGGGTCCGACGGAGCCGTTCACAATTCTGATGAAATTTCACAATTCTGATTAATTAAGCCTTTAATAACGTATTATTTCCTCTCTTCTCATAATGATGCTAAAATTTTGCCTGTTGTGCTTTGTTTATCTTAAAATGCGTTTAGCCAACCATGATTTCCGGTGCATTCGCCCTTTAAATTTTCGTACTGTTTAAATACGAAACTTCTAGGGACGAATCAATACTGAAACAAGCGTCTGGTAATTTCTGTAAACATCATTCAAAATGTCTCGTAACAGTAAATATTACGTTAAAAAAATTATATGTTCTTACTGCTTAATAAGATATTAACAATCTTAATTAAAAATTCACAATTTGTTAAGAAACAACGCTTTTTTTCACAATTTTTATGGTACCGGACCCATTCACAATTCAGGGAAAAAAATCGCTGTTATTAAATCATAAGAGATTTCCACCTAATTTCATTCAACATTAAAAAGTAATGAGATCATCAAATGGTTTATAAGATTAACATATTTATTGTGATTTTATCTTACACCTGTTATACTCAACATCACTAATTCCGCCTCATCACTTATGTCACGGTAATGGCATATTTTCATGTGACCAGTGTTAAAATTGGTCATTATTGACATATTTTATTCATACACCTAAACAATAAGGTTTTTGTGCAAAATATTCTAAATCTCTAGAATTTTACTTCAAATAGAACAATATTTTACAAATTTCTACAAAATGCAACAAGAGTCCACTAAATTTGTACATACGTCTGAAACAATCATCATTTTCTAAATGTTCTTGTTTGTTGAAAAAATAAATTTTGAGTTACAAGGTAATGATAGAACTTCTTGTTATTTAAAATTAAGAAAAATAAGTTGTAGAAATTTCTGAAACATGAAAACATGAAAGTGTAACACCTTTTACCAGGCTTTAAATGATGGCATACTGTTTTCAAAATGGCGGACATATAGTCTATGTCTGGCCCATTAAAACTGATTTTGACTGAATATACTGTTGTTTCGTTGCGTCATACACAGACGCTTGGGGGTCAGATCCTGCCCAATGTGATACGCCCCTGTAAATACTCTATCAAAAATATTTTACAATTTAAACACGAATTGGACATCTGTTACAACGATAAAACTATTTTCAAAACAATTTTTACATATATGAAAAAATACCGTATACCATCAAGTCTCAATAAAGTTAAAAGATTGCAGACTCTAATATGTAACAGTCCAACCAATTCACGACCTGAGCCTTGCATATATTTGCGAAGTATAAATGTTTATAAAGAATAAAAACAGATTGTTGTCGTTTATTACGTAAATCATGGTGGATGCTATTTATTGTAAATAATGTATATTATTATGTATTGAATCATTACTTAAGGAAAGTTTGCATGTTCCGTGAAACGCATTCTAAAATTCTATTGTCAGTCCCTAGGTAGCTTTAATTAAGGCTAATTAATTGATTGTGCTGTTATGTTCGGTATAATTTATCTACTGTATTTGAAAATTATTAAATTATTTTTGCTTTTCGTTGTTTTTTCAGTATTCTTTGTATTTATTTCTTTCTTTCCTTCTTTCCCTCCGATCATTATTTATTCGATTCATGTGCTTAATTAACAAAAATGATTTAACAATTCATCTTTCATACAAATAAAACAACAAATCATAAGCATGAAAATCAAGTACCTTATAACTAATAACATGCAACTTTAACACTTTTATCAAAATAGATTATAGAAGGCTTGTTCGCATTCATTTTTTTACAAAATAGCGGAGCATCTTTATTAAAGTGAAGACGCTAGGACAATTGCTGTTTCTTGGTTAAAATCCTCGCTTAAAGTCATAAAATAATATATGCATTTTCGACTTCCATATAATTTTGAAAAGTGCCGTACCGCTAGCCAATACAGTGTGTCCTGGCTAGTTGTACGTGACTCACTTACGGCTAGAACTTTTGGCCACTTCCTTTATTCATATAAATAGAAAAAATGTTAATTAAGATTATTTTTTCTGCCATAAATACCTCAGTACATAATAATAGCGAGCTCGATGAGCTGGCCCAAAGGGCCTGCTCCCAAAGCGAGCTTTACGGTAACGCGAGTACCTGCTAAGTGATGGTTTTGAAAACTTTCGTCCAAAGTACCGAATTGGACACATCGCAACTTTTCGAATTTAAAGATGACGATAAAAACTGAGGAATTCTGACTGAAAACGGATGTGCAGACTGGTCACCCGCGCACATCTATGGGAACCATAATTGGACAGGGAACCAGAATAACAGAAGCTGTGTATAAAATATCGAATGACAGTTTTAAAACGGAAAATGTAAAATGAAAATTGAAGGCGCCATTTTGTTTGAAAAATCTGATAAATAAAAACATTTTTTTTGTCGAATTTTGTTGTGAAAACTATCTAGAATGAAAGAAAATGGTCTAACTAAGAAAATGAATCTGAACACCAATATCTTTTATTCAGTCGTTAACGCTGTACAGACGTTTAAAGTATTGTTTACCTGACGTCACAATGTAGCCCCAAACAGCATGTGCAAAACAATCAAATCAAGTACGCTATTTTAATGTCGCAAACGTTTTAAGTTTTACATTTATTTCACTTTTAATAATCTTTATTTAGCTTGAAAAATTATAGAGTGAAATAAAATAAACAAACAAAGTTTTATTAAAGTTTTCAAAACTTGTTAATTATTCATTTAACGACAGGGGCGGAGCCATATTTAACACAGTACGTGTGATGTCACACGCACTCGTCACTGCATCTGAAATAAAAATGAGGGATTATTTCATACTATTTCACGTTAAAAGTACATCGAGCTCGCTTTGAGGCTTTGCCTTTTTCATATTATAGCTCATTTACAATAAATATAACCCTTCTGACTGTTTAAATTAACAATAATGCTTCGGGACGCTTCAGGACGCTAAATTTCTTCGGGACGCTTTTTAGTGAGACCGCTTTTTAAATAACTTTTTTATTAAGTAGATTCTACTAACATTTGATTTTATTGTCGAATCGAGTGGCGATTTAGACATTTAAAGTTTTCAGAAAACGTCACTGCACAAGTGTCTGTGACAAACATTAAGGTCACAGATTGATTGAAAGTCACGAATCGATGAGAATAAGGCATATGTCGCGAAAATGTATTACAATGAAAATTTATACGTCATACCCAGAACTTTATTGCTTACCATATACATAAACCATAAACAAAGATCCATTTCGTTTCGACACTTGAATTGCATCTGGTATTTTCCCATCAAACCACTTCATTTTGATATTTTAAAAGCAAAAGTTGGGGTTTTTTTGAAACAGGAAGTTATGAAAAATTACGTGGCCTTTCTAAAACTCGAACGACTTAAAATAGTGAAAAACAGAATCCCTAAAGAAAGCCCAACACGGCAAAATTGTAAAATGTTGCAGGCTCGGTTTGATTAACCTGTTCATGGACGGTAATGGAAATTGCAAGTTACCGTCCACGCCCCCTAGCACCGGCTTAAGCAGATTCAACATTTAAACACTAAAATGGTGAAATTTTGAATTTGGAAACATCCGCAGATGTGTTCGTACGGCGGTTATCATGGAACCTTCAACGTGACACAGTACTGTCATTCCATGACAAGCGGCGTATGGTCCCCAAGTAAAAGAAAGCGTGTGCCCTAAACGAGAAAACAATGGGCGAAACTAAATAAAATGGAATTTTGAAAGTGGATCTGAGGTTATGAAGCCTGCATATCACCGATTAGACGTCAAAAGACACACTTAAAGATCAATGTATACAAAAACTGAGACTCATGGATCCCAGAAAGTATTGTCAGTACCCACAAATGGCTGACATCATCATCAGTAGGGCAGGTGTACTAAAGCTCCTCGCCAACCTCAATGCCAACAAATCTGCCGGCCCTGACCACATTAGACCAATTGTCCTGAAGGAGCTGAGAGAAGAGCTTGTTGACATCATTGCAGTTCTTTTCCAAAAATCCCTGACCACTGGTAATATTGCCAATGACTGGACCCGTGCAAACGTATGCCCTGTCTATAAAAAGGGTGATACAAGTGATCCAGAAAACTATCGCCAAATTTCCCTTACATGCATCCTCTGTAAAACACTTGAACACATAGTTGCCTCTCAACTATCCTCTCACTTTACCACCCACAACATACTCTTTGATCTTCAGCATGGATTCAGAGAAAGACGATCATGTGAGACACAACTCATTGAACTTACTGATTACCTTGTGAACAACCTTTCAAATGGCAAACAAACAGATCTCATACTTCTTGACTTCTCCAAAGCATTCGATAAAGTAAACCATCTTAAACTCTTAGATACCCTTCAAGAACATGGTGTTTGTCCTCAAATTATAAACTGGATACAGTCCTTCCTTATTGGCCGTAGACAGACAGTAGTTGTGGATAGTGACTGCTCATCTGAAGTCCCAGTTACCTCTGGAGTGCCCCAAGGCTCTGTCCTAGGGCCCCTTTGTTTCCTTCTATATATCAACAAGCTACCATCTTCTGTCCTTAAATCCCAAGTCAGATTATTTGCAGACGACACCGCTGTATACTTAACCATCAACTCCTCCTCAGACCCCCCAACTCTCCAACATGATCTAGACAATATGGTTCTGTGGGAGAAGCAGTGGGACATGGAGCTAGTTTAACCCTTCAAAATGCCAAGTCATCCATATCACCAAAAATAAAACCATAATTAAACACAAATATATGCTCCATGGCCAAGTCCTAGAGTCTGTTACAAATGCTAAATATCTCGGACTAGATATATCTGCTGACCTTAAATTTAATACACATATATCTCGAATAACTTCCAATGCAAACAGATCCCTTGGCTTTATTAAAAGAAATGTCATTACTAAAAATGAGAAAGTGAAAGAACTAGCATACAAGTCCCTGGTCCGCCCACAGGTTGAATATGCCTCAACTATTTGGTCTCCTTACACTAAAACCAATATTGACAAAGTTGAGATGATCCAGAGACGCGCAATTAGATGGGTAAAAAGGGATTATTCCCCTCACTCTAGTGTCACAGCCATGCAGGAAGGACTGGGCTGGCGATCCCTTGAACATCGCAGATTGGACTGTACTAGACTGATAATGTTTTATAAGATATACCATAACCTAGTTGCAATTAATCTCCCAACTTATGTTCAAACCCCACATAGATTAACCAGACATATGCATCCCTTATCCCTACGCCAAATACAGGTATCCCCTGACTACCATAAGTACTCTTTCTTCCCTCATAGCATTATACTATGGAATAAACTTCCTAGTAACATTGCCACCCTGTCCAACCTGAGTCAGTTCAAACAGGCAGTGGTGGGTTTGCAGTACTACTCTTACTCCCAGTGTTTTTAAACTATTTTATCTCTTAATTATCATCTTGTTTCACTATTAACATTTTAACCATGACTAGAATACATTTTCAGTCTCGCTTCCAAGCATGTCAATGTTTGGACTTTTCTTTTTTAGCTTTTCTTTTCACCTTTTACTAACAATCCGACGTGCACTAAATTCCTGCCTTTAACACTCGTAAGAGGACTTGGCAGTATCCAGAGATAGATAGATAGATAGATGAAAAGCAGGTAACATATCCTAAGGGTGATTATGCAGTTTTCAAGTAGGAATACTGGAACCACCCAAATTGAAAAGGCCAAATACAAGAAACTAAAAAATACCATATAAAATGTATACACAACAATAATGTCGTGCTGAACGATCTTCAAGGATCGAAAATATAACATCGTTGATTAAATGTACGGGGAGACTTTTTACAGCCGCCACACGGCACAAATAACACGGATGTGACAATGAAATAGTGAAAAACAGAAGCCCTGAAGAAAGCCCAACAAGGCAAAATTGTAAAATGTTGCAGGCTCGGTTTTATTGAGCTTGTTCATGGACGGTAATGGAAATTGCAAGTTATCGTCCACGCCCGTCCACATCCTCGCATAATAGTTATATTATAACTAATGTTTAAAAAGTCATACTAACTCGTATGGGGTTCTCGTCACATCCGCAATATTTTAAAAGGTTACCTAATATATGAGAGGTCTATATGGTTTGATCACTACTTTTGTCATTATTTTTAGACCTGTTCTTTATTTATTTATGAAGCATGTTTTAATGAAAATGGCAAAGTGCTTGCAAAATTGTCTACACGGATATGTAACAACTTAAAAACACTGATTTGTCTCGTTTTGCATAGTCTTTTACGGTATTGAAATGACATTGATTGATTTTTTTTCGGAATGAAATTTAAACATTAATTCTTAAACCATGTTATTCAAAAGAATATAGTCTTCTTGGGCTTTCTTTAGGGATTCTGTTTTTCTCTATTTCACCAATATAAGTTAGCGCAAAACACATTAAAACAATAAGAACAACATAAAACAAGCATAGCTTCAATAATTTTGAAAATAGTTATAAATAAGAAAATTAAGGACATACGCGGTCTCGATCTAACAACACACAGGACATTCAATAATTATAAACTAGTAGTTTACTCTATTACTCTATAAAGGTCAGTGTAATTATTTCATAGAAACATATTAAATTTGCATCTCACAAAATTTACCGATTATTATCGAAGTTTAATATATTGTGTGCATTGACCGTACATTAAGTATGCAAATGACAGGTTTATAAAATCAAACAATACAAATCATTATGTATTTAATGAGGTTAGACAGCTAAATATTCCTAACTTTTTGGTAAATGTTCCTACTTTTTCCTACTATTTTCCTACTTTTTGGCAAAAAATGTTTCTACTTTTTTTACTGACTTTCTGGTGTGAGACCACTTGACAGCCTGTATTGTGTTGGTATAGGATGTTTCTTTTTGTGACGTGGATAACTTGACACTTGAAGGGGTAAACTCATCCCACTCTAACTCCCACTTTTTAACTGATTTATGTCATTTTGGAGGGTGACTGATTGGTTTGCAGATGTCAGAACAATGTATATTGCAGTATCGTCTGCAAACAAGCGGACCTGGGAATTTATGTTTTATAGGAGGTCGTTTATATCGGGGGAAAATAGGAGGGGGTCTTAGAACTTAGGCTTTGGGATATCTGATGATACTGGGATGGGGTTTGAGCTGCTGCCATTTAGCTCAACAGACTGTGCACAGCCTGTTATCTTGAAAACTTTTGATCAATTTTACAAAATAACATATAGTCATGTATTTTCAGCAATACTTTCCCATGCCTGACCTTATCGAAAGCTTTACTGAAATCTAAAAGAATCAGATCTACTTGTTTTTTTTCTTATATAATGAAGTGACCAGATCTTTTATCAACATATTTAACAAGTTGCGTATAACATAACCATTTTCCCTGAAACCATGCTGGAGATGATAAAGGATGTTATGGTTGGTGAAGTATTAAACAAGAGTGTTTAACAAGGGGAAACTATGTGTTCCATAACCTTACATAAAACACATGTTCAGGAAATTGGCTTGTTGTTTCATACTGTTTTGGTGACACTTTTGCTTGTGTCCCTTGTTGTTTTCTCGTCTACGGTAAGTATCTTCCCCATTGCCTCTAGTTTTTATTTCTTTGATTAACCCCCCCCCCTTCCCCCGGTCTTCTACCCCCTTCCCCTTTGTGGGCCTATTATTATTTCTTTGAATTCCTAATCAGTTACAAATTATTTATCATTTTATGTTTAACGTGTCGTTGCCCTATCCTTTTTATGTTTGGGGTCCGCCTGGGCTCCTTGCCATTGGTTCTTGTTGCTGGGTCATATGGGGGTTCATTGAACGCCGCCTTTCCTTGGTGATCTTGTTTTTCATATTTTATAATTGGCCAGATTTCCATTGGGATGGCAATGAGCCTTCATCGATGGACTTTTGAAAAGCAATCTTGAATTGGAGAAAGTTCTTTGAAAAGTGTAAGGAAATTAATTGGTTTTATTTTGTCCGAGGCAAAGACTTTATTAGGGTTTATATTATTTAGGAGTTTCTCAATCCCTTTTGCTCCTATTTGGATATCTAGTACAGAAGGAACGGATTGACTATGCTTAGGCTTCATTTTAGGACGCAAGAGAAAGGCAGATTGGGGGCTAAATACGTACTGAAATTGCTTAATGATAATTAATTGCCTTTGAGACATCATATCAACGTGAAATTCATGTTCATACTTTATGGGGGACGGTAGATGTTTCCTGATTAAGGAGTACATATTATTTTACCATTTTGGGCTTCAGGATGACTTCAAGATACTGGTTATATGATTCTTTAACCTGTTTCCGCACTAGATGTTTCATGTCAAGAAACTTTTTACGATCGGAAGATGATCCTGATTTATTAACCCTTTTAAAGGCCCGGTTTCTTTTTCTGATCTTGATATATTGATTGACCCAGGGATGGTGATCCCTAAACGAAGTTTTTTCTATGGAAACCATTTTTCAGTAAGAGAGTTAAAAGCATCGGAGAAATTTTCCTATAACTCCTTTATCCTAAATGCAGAATATTTTTCATTTGTCTTCGTAACCTGAGGCTTTTGGTAACTCTTGCACTTCAACAATATTGTGGTCATTTATGCCTGGGAGGATATGGACCTGGTTAACTAGAGTGGAATTTGTAGTGAGGAATATATCAAGGATATTATTTCCTCGAGTAGGTAAGTTGACCATTTGGGTGAGGTAAGCATCGATGGAAGTTTCTATGATATGTGTATATATAAGGAAGGGTGTTTAGAAGACTGGGATGGACTGGAAGTGTCCGAGTCCATTTTCGGAAGGTTCAAGTGCCCACTCAGATATTTCTAAATCTTTTTTTTTTTACCTTTTCAGGTGATTTTGCGAATTCCAGAAAGCTTTTTGGGACTAGGTCTTGGGAATTTGTAGTACCCTCCAATGACTAGGACTTATTTCCAACTAAGTCTAACTTAACCCATCATAGATCATCACATTGTGATGATAGTTCAGGCATTTCTTAAACAGCAATGCCATTCCTTATGGCGAAGAAAACCCTTCACCGGTCTGCACTCTGTGGTCTTTGTTGAAAATGATCCTGAGATATACTAAAAACATATTTTCTACCAAAAATTGTTGCATGTAATCCTCTCTGAATATTTCTAAACAAAATCAAACAACAGGCTATCTCAAAGCAAAATTTTAATATTTTTTGTGCGTGTAAAAAAAATCATTAAATTGTCCGATGCAGCTTTTTTTTTTTAGATACATGACGTTTAACGGTTAGTGCTCGCGGCGTCTATCACTGATTTTCTAAGCAGTAAATGTAGAAAAATACTAGATTTCTACACGTTTTATTTATACAAATTACAATTAATGAGATACAAATTGGATTATTATGACAAAAGTTAGAAAAAAAAATGATATATCAAATAAGTATCGCATTGATGTCCATATTGTATGTGCATAAAATCTGTGTAAGGCTTCTTCTTTAATCACTAGTAGTTACAGTTCACTGTCCCTTAGCGGCAATTCTATTTAACACACTCTCAAATTGGGTACTTAAGACAAACACGGCGCCTCCCTAATAACAATTTTATTTCCTAATCAATTTTAATAATTTTAGTATCAAATGAAAGATTACTTCATACGCTTTTCATGGATGCGTTAAAATAAAAATGAATTATGCAGAATTATTATTTTTTGTTTCAAAATTTATCATTTGTCTTCTGAAAACCGCTGAAAATTCGGTAAGAAAAACACTTTTAAAAATAATACTTTTACTTAATTTAATGTTACTGAAATAATCTTTAAGCTGATACCAGAATTATATAAATTGGTTAAGAAATAAGAATTTTAAAAATTGGGTGCCGTATTTTCTTACGGAGGTTCAGAGGGAAAATAACGGTGGCACAAAGGTGACATGTGTGTGTTTTTATTTATCTCGTGGCCACGAGTTACTTAGTCGTGGCCACGAGATATCTAAGTCGTGGCCACGAGTTACTAAGTCGTGGCCACGAGATAGCTAAGTCGTGGCCACGAGATAGCTAAGTCGTGGCCACGAGTTATTATGTCGTGAGCACGAGTTACTAAGTCGTGGCCACGAGATACTATGTCGTGGCCACGAGATACTATGTCGTGGCGACGAGTTACTCATTCGCGGCCACGAGATAGCTAAGTCGTGGCCACGAGATACTATATGTCGTGGCCACGAGTTACTAAATCGTGGTCACGAGATAGCTAAGCCGTGGCCACGAGATACTTTGTCGTGGCCACGAGTTACGTACTAAGTCGTGTCCACGAGTTACTAGTCGTGGCCACGAGATAGCTAAGTCGTTGCCACGAGATAAATAACCAATCAAAGTACATTTATTTGAATTTCCCTAATTAACTAGACATGTGCTATAGTACAAGGATGTCCCTACTTCACCGGCCTGTAAAAGTGCCATTTAAACAATTTATTGACTGTTCAATAATTTTCCATTTAGCGTCACTATGACCCTGATTTTTGACCCAATGACCTCGAAATTATTAGATGCCATCTACTGATCAAGTGCAATGATCTTCTATCTATCTATCTACCCTACCAGGATTTATTCCTTCTCATGATATCGTATCAACAAGGTTAACAGGCCGTAGTACGTACAAACTGACCAATTCGATCACAAAATTGTCCCAACAAAAAGCTATAGTCAAAATAATGTCTGATGGGCCTTGGAAGGTGACTTTCTAATATGATCCTAAAGACAAGTTCAAAGTGAATATCTTCAGTATTTTCAAAGATTAATGCTGCATGTAAAAGTAAGTTATAAAGTTTAAAAAATTTATAATATATATATATAGTGTATTCTGATTGGTTAATTATCTCGTGGCCACGGCTTATATAGTTATCTCGTGGCCACGACTTAGTAACTCGTGGCCACGACATATAGTATCTCGTGGCCACGACTTATATAAAGCTATCTAGTGGCCACGACTTAGTAACTCGTGGCCATCGTTTAATAATGATTGTAATGTTTTAGAAAAAATCGCAGCGTCATCTGCGAACAATAATAGAAATATTTGCATATCACCAAGATTAATTATTCCGTCTAAATTATATTTTATATATTTTATACTAATTTCAATTTAAGTGAAAGTGATATAACTAATTGTAGCATAATCCTTCTATTGAAGTGTGTGAACCTTTTTGTGAATTTTCCTTTGATATATATTGAACACAAACTGAATACAAACTGAACTGGCAACACATAGCATGTGATACCTGCAAGTTTACTTAATAATTTGTTAGCAACATTTTTTTAAGTATATAAGGAAATACAAATTGTTCTTTTTTTATTTATTACATTAATGGATAATTAAATAATTCATTCATTCATTTATATTCTTTTATATACATATTATTTATTTGGTTATTTAGTTATTTTCAAACAATATTATTTATTTATTTATTTTTTATACAATATTATTTATTTATTTATTTTACATGCACTATTATTTATTTATTCATTTATTTCATTTTCATAAAATTATACCTTTTTAATCCAATTTATAATCTAATCAATTTAAATATGAGATAACTGTTGAATAAACAACCAATCACCAAGTTCAATAAACAAGGTGACATGCAATTAACACTTATAATGGATGTGTTTTGTATAACAGTGGGCAATACGATGATCATGACTTAAGGTCAAGGACTGAGGAGTTCTTGGAGAAAGTCCACGGTGAATTTATGTACATTTATAAGAATGTGTTTTTAAAACCAGTAAAATGTTATGTTTTATTGCATGTTATATGTAAATGGTTTAATATATTATTACATGTGCAATAACATGTGTTATTTGTTTCTGAATTATTTACTACTTAGAAATGTCTGTAAATTGTCCTTTACTTAAAAAATTATGAATCAAATTATGCTAAAAATAATTAAAATAAACACATGATATAAAAGCATTTTTACAGCTTATTTTAGAAAAAAATTGGATGAGGGGTTCAGTGTCTTACTGATTTTGGGGGGTGAAGTGTCTTGAGGGGTGAGGTGTCTTCAAAATTTGAGGTGTGTAGTGTCTGGAGGGTGATGAAGTGTCTTGCTACCATTGCTACAGCCACGAGATAAATAAAAACACACACATGTCACCTTTGTGCCACCGTACCTTTGTGCCACCGTAAAAAACTATTAAAATTTGTTTAGAAATAAAGAACTTAGTTTGTGCGCCGATTTACTTTCAAAAAGGGCTCACCACTTGGACAATTTGTTGAATGTCCATTTCGCGAAAAAAAACTCATTTCGCTATCGGTCCTTTCCGGTATTTTGGGACAACATTCAAAATGGCCGACGATAGTGTTGAGGAGAAAAAAGTGTGCACATTTATTAAGAAAACAGTAAGAAGACCTCACTTTCAGCGTAAATCACAATCAAGTGGTTCAGGTAAATTACATTAGATAAAGTTTTATCATAATTCTTGACAATAATTCTTACTTAAACAAACATTATAAGCGATGTTGAATGCCCCAAGACGAATTTTAGACGTTTCACTCCCAAGACGTTTCACTATTTAGACGTTTCACTCCCAAGACGGTTCACACCGAGACGTTTCACTCCCATTTTGTCAATTGTATGGGACGTTTCACTCCCAATTTTTAGAGATGTTTACTAGGAAAGTTAACGCATTTTTATTTTGGGGGGAGACAGACATTTCACTATAAATTTGCGACTGTTCGCACCAAGACGGTTCACACCAAGACCTTTTCACTCCCATTTGGGGGTGAGACAGACATTTCACTATTGAGACGGTTCACACAAAGACGGTTCACACCAAAACGTTTCAGTCCCAATTGGGAGTGAAACGTCTTGGTGTGACGGTCTCAATAGTGAAATGTCTGTCTCCCCCCCCCAAGACGGCAAGAGGTCAGACTCACATATTGATTTTCCCATAGACATACATTATTTATGAGAGTAATCAGACCTGGGAAGAAAATATGACAACATTGATAAAAAAAAACCTCTTTGTTCATCTTAGATGTGTCAAAAATGAAAAAAAATGAAATATGAGCCCCCTTAAAAATATAGTATTATGAAATTAGGCAAAGCCTATGAACGGGGAAGTCGATTAAAATAATCGCTAATTTTTATTTTACATTTTCTGTTTTAAAAGTGCAATTTGGTATTCTATATACTGCTTCCGTTTATTCTGGTTCCCTGTCCTATTATGGTCCCCATAGAAGTCTGCAGGGGACTAGTTTACGCATCTTTTTTCAATCAGAGTTTCTTGGCTTTAATCGTTATCTTGTAAGTCGAAAAGTTGTGATTGGCTATTATCGGAATACACCGCCATTTATCATTGCATTACGGCGCCAAACAAGAAATGGTACTGAAAATTTCGCTGATAGGTATAGAATTCTATGTATTTTTTTAATTCTTTTTAAATATACACGTGTAGTCTATAGCCGGGCAAGCCAAAGCCTGGAGCCGCTTCGCGGACACAGGCTTTGACTTCCCCGTATAAGTTAAGAGAAGGCCGGAAACTCCAGATTGGAGTCTACGAGCAAGGGGTTCATTTCCCAGGACGTTGTGAAAACAATTGTCCAGATAATTATTTAAATTAAATAAAATTGTTATCATTATTTCACGTTTGTATTAAACTTCCAAATGAGACCGACCCCAAGTCTCTAGCCCTTCCCGTTTAATGAAATTTAATGGAAGTTTAGGAGTCATTTACTCCCTGATTTTGGCTTGTGACTTCCGAAATCTAATACTTTTCCTTCTTTACCTATATAATGTGACTTCCAATATCAGAGATTTTGCAGTGTCTGACTTCCAAATTTTGGAACTGAGTGGAAGCCCTGCGTTCATGAAATATCTTTAGCATCTGATCCAAGCAAAATTTGAGTTTCAGACCTCTCATCGGTCTTTTGATTCCTTTCTACACCATTATAAATCAGCTGTTCATTATTTTGTAAGGAGTCTTCTGATTGGCCAATAGCAAGGAAACTGCAACGTTTCGCACAAGGATGCCTTATGGCGTAGAAAGCAATCGAAAGACCGTATAGAGGTTTGAAACTCGAATTTCGTGCATATCAGATGTTACTGACAGTTGTGAATGGTCCCATTTAATGTATTTAGTAATACTATTTCGTAAATTCAAGTGATTTTCAGCAGATGACCTTCACTTGTCAGAACATGAAATTATCAGTTTAACTGGTAAATATGCCAGGGGTAAAATAAAAATTGTATTTTCAACACATGCAGATTTTCCTATCAATGACAGAAATGTATTTGAAATGAAAATATTTCTTTCCAACAATTTCTATCCAAATTAAAAATGCAGCACTTTCACTTCAATGGTACAAACACATTTGATTAGTGGTGTTCAGAGTGAAAAGAAAAACATTTTCTGATTACACCAGAATGGGAAAAGATGCGGTACCCACAGGGAGTACCATACACTTGAAAATAAGTGCAAATATCTAAGACACAAATTATGAAAATTGAAATATTTCATTCTTAATGAAACAATTAACAATATAGTGTTAATTTCTAAATTAGTTTTCATACATTAAAACATCCCATAAATTTTTATCCAGTCACCTCATGTCCTATTGAATCTTGCTGTTTTTCTTGCACTTTTTTCAGCCAATTGCTGGCCATGTTGCAAAACAATAGTCTGACCAAGACATTTCACTATTGAGATGTTTCACTCCCAAGACGGTTCTCACCTAGCCGCAAATAGAAAGCTTATATGAAGAGCCCGGTAGGGATTGCTTTTGGACCCCCAGGGTTTTTAAGGTCACTGTTACTAAAAAAAAGAAAAATGGTTTCTGGACAATAACAAATTATAAATGAGTTATTAGTCCCCTACCGGTTTACCGGCAGTGATTTTCCTACTTATATAACAGACTCCGAAAAAAGGCCTCTTCCCAATTGAAATTTTCTTTAAAATCATGCAATTTTCCCAAAAATCTTAACTTAAACCAGCTTTTTTACTTCCCAAATCATCAATTTTATCGATATTTTTTCCCAAAATCAAGAGGCTAAGGTCTCTTCCCAATAAAGTGAGAAAAATCACTGACCGGAGGGGACTTTAGGTTTACCCTCCGTCCGTCTGTCCGTCCGTCTGTCTGTCAGTCCGTCCGTCCACAAAACTGGATCCCGCGATAACTTGAAAAGTACTGGAAATATTTTTATGAAACTTGGAATATAGATAGATGGCAGTATGGAGATTATGCACGTCTTTTTCTTTTCTTCCTATGTTGAAAATTCTGGTTGCTATCGCAACAAATAGGCTAAAAATATGGCAAATTTTACACATAAACTGGATCCAGTGATAGCGCAAAAAGTACTGGAAATATTTTTATGAAACTTGACATATGGGTAGATGGCAGTGTTGAGATTATGCATGTCTTTTTCGTTTCTTCCTATGTTGTAATTTCTGGTTGCTATGGCAACAAATAGGCTGAAAATATGGCAAATTTTACACATAAACTGGATCCAGTGATAAAGCAAAAAGTACTGGAAATATTTTTATGAAACTTGACATATGGGTAGATGGCAGTCTTGAGATTATGCACGTCTTTTTCTTTTCTTCCTATGTTGAAAATTCTGGTTGCTATGGCAACACATAGACTGAAAATATGGCAAATTTTACACATAAACTGAATCCAGTGATAACTCAAAAAGTACTGGAAATATTTTTATGAAACTTGACATATGGATAGATAGCAGTCTTGAGATTATGCATGTCTTATCTGTTCTTCCTATTTTGAAAAAATATCAGTTGCCTTGGCAACAAATAGGCTTAAAACATGGCAAATATAACAATATTTGTGATTAGTCAAAAAGAGCTGAAATTTTTTATGAAATTGCATCTTTAATTCAAGAGTTATCTCCTCTTTAAGAATTTTGCTTTTGTTATATTTTGGTAACAGGGATGTTTCAAATATTAACTTTAGAGTGTCCTTCAGTCCGTCTGTCTGTCTGTTCATAAAAACTGTTTCCTGTGATCACTTTTAAAGAACTTTTCCAACAAGTTTACTTAAAATAGAGAAAAATTGAAACATAAGTGAATGGCCAATGGATGTTCAGAATGTTGATGGGGTTCTAACGGGTAGGGGACTTATGGATTGCTTGCAATACTATGATAATTGCTTGTTGTAATCAAACTTGTTATATAGCAATTGTATGTGTAAACACCCAATTGGGATTGTTGTTACACCCCCTGTCACTAACTAACTGTAGATTAATGGTTTCTGGACAATAATTAAGAGTTAGGAATGAGATATTATAATAAAATTTAGTATAAAGCTTACATGAGACCTCCGTTGGGATTGCTTCTTGACTCCCTGGGGTCAAGGTCACTGTAAGTTAAATTAGAAAATAGGTTTTCTGACAATGAAAAGACATAATAATAAAAATTATCAAATTCAATTTAGAATAAAACAGGGAGTAAAATGTCATTTCACTCCCAAAATATGAATTGTACTAAATCAAAAATGATCTAATTCAATTTAAAATAAAACAGGGAGTGAAATGTGTTTCACTCCCAAAATGGGAGTGATCGAAACGTCTTGGTGTGAACTGTCTTGATAGTGATTCAGTGGAACATCTGTCTACGGATTTTTTTCCCGATATTTTACAACCTATTATAACCTAGCCCAAAATAGGCATATTTTTCCCCTAAAAATGCTATATTTTCCCCTGAAATGCCTGTGCACATTCTTCATCAGAACCACGACTTAATGTTCAGCACCTGACCTATATTATTTAGTTCATGAATTTGTTGGTCTGAAAGACAGAAAGCTCTGTTATAAACAAAGACAGAAAGCTCTGCCATAAACTTTTTTATGCATTCAATATTTAACCATTTACTTTGAAAACTTTTTAATTCACCTTGTTAATGTTTCTATTTTTAGAGAGCAGTGATGAAAATGACGGAAATGTTGTTATCAAAGCAAAGAGAGCTAGAGGACCACAAAGAATGGTTCAGTCAGTAAGTCATTTCACTGAATGTATAGAATTCAATTTATTGTTTCTCATTTATCGTAAGTAATAATCTTGTCAATTCCTTCAACTTTAACTTGGAAAGACCTATCTTATGTTGTGAGAACATGTGAATCAGTCTATCAACTCACGTTTCATGCATGCTTATAGTAAATCTGCAAAAAGTCTTAGATGTACTTGACTTGTCAGACTTCAGGGATGTGATGACTGACCTAGTTCTTTACTGGTACAAAGGCTTATCACATAAAGTTCATGCTTGTAAGGGTTAATGCATTGTTTATACATGTATTAGTACTGTCAAATTGGTATATTTTTGCAGTAAAGTATCCAGAAACACTCCCTTAACTTGAAGTTTGTTCAAATAAAAGCCCTGGGGTTTAAACTGGCCCCGCTCCGGGGGCCTATATACAGGTGAGCGACTTCAGGGCCATCATGGCCCTCTTGTTGTAGTTAAATTTTTAAAAAAATATGACTTGGGGGGGGGGGGGGGGGGGGGGGGGGTCACGCTGTTTTTCCATGAAGTACTACTGGAGTTGAATTCCTAATAAATAAGTAAACATGTTTTGATTTTTTTTTAAGACTAAAAACTAAATAATGAATGGTTTTGTCCAAATTGGAAGAAACACATGTTCTTTTAAGATATTTAGCAAGTAATTTTTGCAGTAAAAGAAATAAATTGGGTCACACTGTTTAACATGAGATACTACTTGAGTAGATTTCCTAATTATTAAGTACCATGTTTTAATTTTTTGTTTAGACGAAGACAAAGAAGGTTGGATATGATGATATATCTGACAGTGACAGTGATGTGGATGTTAGAAAGTCTGTAGCAGTGACTTATAAATCATCTAGAACAGGCGTAAGTCATCTTTGTTTTTTATGTTCACAGAATGTTTCAGCGAAGCAAATAGTTGCAAACTTGTTTTTTTTTAGACTTTTCTGTCACATAAAATTTAAAGTTCTTTTTTTCACCTTCAATTATTAACTGATATATAATCATATCTGATTTCTGTGTGTTAGTATTTTCCATGGACCTCTACTTATGGTCTACTGGGTGACATTGTCCAGCACACTGAAGCTAAAAGTAGATTTCCTACATTTCCTTATAGAACAGAAGTAAGGCCATACAGTGATACTTTTAACAATTTTATTAGAATATTTATAAGACACATTGTCATCTTTTCATTTGAAAACTATTGAAACCATGGAAAGCTTGAAAACTCAACTAGAAATTGATATAAATGAGATATTTATGTACAAGTAGATACATGTAAAATTTATGAATATTACATTCACAAACAACAGATGATATAGATTTTGAAGGAAGTTTTAAATTGAGGTATTTTGAAAAGTATAAAATATAATGGGATTATTTATTTTTTTTGTCAGTCTGCAAAGGGGGTTTTGTTTGTATGGAGCATAGCTCAAAAAACTGTTTGGGGGTATCTTGAAACTTAAAAAGTGGATATATTTCATTCAGGAGAATTGCAGTGCCCAAGAACCACAACTCTCATTGGCTTAATTTTAAAGTTACTGCCCTTTGTCTTTTTTTTTGTCGTCAAGAGCTGAGTATAACTTATGTCAATATAATGTATCAACTTGGAAACAATGTTATACCCTACTGACAAAATGCTATGTAGGTAGGGGATGACGTATGTGCTCCAGAACAATGACATTTATATCAGTTCCATCAGTTATATTTTATAAAGTAAACTTCAGAATTAAAATGTGATATTGATGAATGTATTGTAGAAAAGTGAGGGACCACAAGATATGGGTGCAACATCAACAGTTCAGATTGATACGGACCTAGCAAATGATGCCAGGGCTATCTTTGAGAAACAGCAAGAAATCAACAAGGTTTGTATGTTATCTAAATAATTTAATTAATGTAAATTTTTGCTGATTAATTTGAACAAATGCTATTTTGAAAAAAAGATAATAACTTGTTTGCTATCTTTTCTGCTGTTCAATGTGGTAGGTCAAGGTTGTTTTCAAACATTTGGGAAAAATGTGCATAATAACTCATTATCATTATTCATAAACTCTGTGTTAATTAAGTGGTCTCTTGAATATTATGTATCTTTGTTATTTTTCTGAGAGTAAAAGCTGAAAAGTTGCCATTTGTATCGGGGGCAGCAAAATTATTTGTATATATTGGCAAAGTTGACCCACAGCTATGCAGACAAGTGAATTTTTCAAGAATTTGTAAATATCGTATGAACAAGTAAAAAATAATATATTCAGATAAAATGGACAAGTAAGTCAAAATCAGATTTTGCCAGCCCTGTGTATATACTATACATGGTAAGATAAATAATTTAGCAAAACAGAAAAAAAATTATAACAAATGTAGAGAAATTTTGAATATATTCACATGTATTAATTTTTTGAATGTTAATTTTGTGACAATGCAGGTAATATTTCATGTTACATGTAATGTATAGGAGAGAAATTGAATGTTGAAGTATTTACTGTACAGGAGTTAAAAGGTATAGAAGATGACAAGGTATATAGAGGGATCAACAATTATCAGGTGTTCTATGAAAAGAGAGACACAGCTCAGGGTAATGCAGCAAGTAACTCTGTCAGGTACAGTTCTGTTTTTTTGTTATCATATACATGACTCTCAGCAAGTAACTTGGAATAGCTCATATTTTCAAGTTGCTGCACTTGCTTACCAAGATATTCTTTTACATTTTTTTCATAGTTTAAAACATAAATTAACACTTTGTTATGTCTGTTAAAAATCTGTAAACAGACTAGTGTTTTTGATAGGGATGTCATCTGGAGCCGAAGCGGCCATCCGGATATCCGAATCGTTGTTATATTCTTAGTTGGCTGATATGACGTAACCATATTTTCGCGACCTTTTTCAAAGTGTAATATTTCGTTTTACTTCCTTTTTAATTGAATGTTTCGTGTCAAAAATTTTTCGTTTGTGATTTTATTATTTCTATATAAAATATGACTGTTATTGATAAATTTAGTGCATATGGTACTTACGATTTAAAATGAAATGAAAATGAAATTTACCGCCGATTGTCTCAATTCCTCAATTAGTGCTATAATACACAATAACACTCGCTCACATTTGTGAAAACAATATAACACCCGTAAAATATAAATATGTTTCCATTGTTCAATAACACGCATACAATTTACACACGATGACCTTTGACAGGTGTGTAGCCGGCTTTTCAAAAGAATCTGCCAATCTTTGATGTTTACCAGCATGTAGTCCTGGCTGTTTGATTCGAATCATCAAAGAAGTTGCCGAAACTTACATGAATTACACGCATTTTAAGTGTTCATAAGTAAAAAAAAAAAGTGAAAAAAATGTTTTTAAAAAATGCACATGTTTGATTAACACTACAGTAAAGGAGAAAGTTATTTTGTCGGATAATTATCATATCAATTTCAATACAAGCTGTGATAATTAAAATATTATTATTCATTAGTGCATTTCTTGATTTGATTATTTTATTTCTACGGAGTTTTCATTTTCTCATAATAAGGAGATGACGGGTCGGAAAGCCGAAATATATATTTAAATTTGGACATGAAAAATGTAACATTGTTTAGGGCTGGGGCGTGTATTCGAGTACTCGGATAATCACGAATCAAAATGAAAAATCGAGTACGAATATTCGTCAGTCCAGAGATCGTGGATTGCGATCTTATTTGTTTATTATACATTCGCTGTTTTTTACACTTTAAATGTAAAAAAAAATTAATTTGTGTATGAATTATGCGACGTTTACCTAAATACAATTTGCTCATTAAAGACAGGAAGTAAACAAAAATGTACCATGATGCTGAGCTAGCACTTTATCTTTATTGAGCATTTGTTTTTAAATATTTTTAGTCGCTATGTCACGGATTTATATTACATGTATACATGTAATGATGTAATATAAATCCGTGGCTATGTATAGATCTATATAATGACGTATCATGTATTGAAGACTGTTTTATTTTTAGGAATCCACAATTTGCTAAACGCAATTTAATACGTCAGTGTGACATTACATGTATTGGCTGAAAAGGAGTCGCACCAATATAAAAATCCCACCAGCAAAATTTACTTCCAATTTTTGGAAATACTTGTCTTTTCATGCGATTAGACAAGTTCGTTGTACCACGCTATATAAGTCAATTTGCCATGGCATGTTTTACAAACTGCTTTTTCCTCATTTTCATTGAAAGTAAATTCTGCTGGTGGAATTTTATATTGGGGCGACACGTTTTCAACCTAGTTTATATTTGCATCACATATATGTTTAATGAATAATTAAATTAATGTCAAGTATTGTTTTAAGAAAAATAAACATGTTTTCAGAACTAATGTTCATGTTTTTATGGGTGTCTTGATAACAAAAGATTTGTGGTTCGATTTGTGAATCGCGTGTGCTGAATCGTGGATCAGATCGGATCGTCACTTACCCGACGATCCACACCCCTAACATTGTTGCCGATGACAATCGCACGGGCCTTAGAATCGTTGCCGATGAAAATCGCAAGGGTCTTAAAATATTCATCTTAAATCCTACTAAACTTAATTTGTTCGGTGTTTAATATATATTTACATTTGTCATACCTGACTCGTAATTATTATAGTAATTATTGATTTTTTGTGGTCCGCAGAGATTATGATGTGTATTGTCAAACTAAGGTACAATATACAATATGGTGTCAACATCATGTTTACATTGATTAATTCAACGCATGTTTTTTTTATCACATTTTCTCTATATTCTGAAATATTTTATGCGAACATCCGGATCCGAAAGTCGGCTCCGGACACCGAATCGTGATCCGAAAGTTCGGATATCCGGACTCCGAATGACATCCCTAGTTTTTGATTAAACTGTGGTAACTACAAACAAAATTGTATTCAATTTTATGTAAATAAATCAACTCCTAAAATTTAATCCAGATTTTGTAAAAGACTTCATAAAAATTTATATGTATATTTTAGATGAAGTGAATTTTGTCAATGTTTGAGATATATCTATAAGACTTTGAATAAAATTGACATGCAAACATTCATTACATAGTTATTATAAAGGCATTGAACACACTGTCATAAATTCATTTCATAAGAATTGCAAGTTGATCAATCATGTTTTTTGTACATGCTGTATATAATTTGTCTAAAGGTGTTTTTCAATTTTGTTTTAATGCAAATGTCATTTAAATTTGAAGGAATATGCATGATACATCATGTCACATATAATGTTCCAAGAACTAGATAAACACATGTACATTTTGTTAAAGAAATGATAAATTATTTCACTATATTTTATAGATCTGATTATTTTAAACTCAATTCAAAATATTTTTTTCTTAAATTGTTAAACTACAGCAGCTTAAACTATAAAATTAGTTCAAGTTATGAAAATACCATTGAAATGCATTTTTGTTTTTTGTAGGAAAGGACCTCTACGGGCACCAGCTCATTTGAGAGCAACAGTAAGATGGGATTATCAACCTGATATATGTAAAGATTATAAAGAAACTGGCATGTGTGGGTTTGGAGGTATGTTTTCATGTTGTATTGTGATTTCAGAGACAGTGATATACTGCAATATTATTGCCCCTTGTGGTTGAAGGGTTGCCCTGAAAGGGTTGAGGCATAAGAATTACAGGTACTTTTTATCCATGTGTGATCATAAGAGGTTACTTAATGGGTTTGTATAACTGGAGTCTATGTGTCTCTATTAGCTTCAGCAGGTGAGATGGTTTTGACCCCTGGCATTGCTTTGAAGTTTGTAATGCCTGCGGTTAGCCAAAATCATCTTTTCTGTTTTGGCGCCATATGACCTAAACTGTGTTTGTCGCTGTAAAACCAAACACAAAGTATCAGTAAGTGAAATCCAGCATTGACTTGAATGATCCGTGATATAAACTACCTGTATGTTAATTTTTGATTTTGACTTAATTAAAATCATTCGTCTTTGATTCAGAGTGTATTATCAAATAATAATAAATTAATATCAGGGTTAGATGTAATGGCAATTAGTATTTGATTATTGATTTTTTTGTGAATGAGTAACGCTTATAAATTGTACTTTTGCATTGGGTGTATCCTACAATGCTTGACCACCACAAAATTTAAAGTTTTAGCTGTGAAGAAAGACATCAATAGTTCATTGTTTTAAGATATGTTCAGAAATTTTCTATGACAATACAAATGTTCAGTTCTTTCCTAACTGCTTACAATTTATCAGATGTTTGAGTCTCACACATATAGTCGAGACAACAATGTCTTAAATTTTGACCTTGACACGTTGATTAGAGTAAGATTCTGCTTGAAATATAGTCAAGGTGGCAAAACTTAAGTGTTATCAGTGTCCTGGAAAGTTGCTACATTATCTATTTATTGCTGATTCAACTTGAAAAATTATGTTCATTTTACAGAATGTTTGATCATAAAGTTACTTTAATTTTGTATTAATTAAGTGATCTCCTGGGCATAGTGGCTCATGTTAATGACATTTTATGAATTAGCTTTCTCAGTTGTGAGTTTGAATCTGTCCACTGATAAGAAATACTTATAGTTTAGAAAGGTATCTACATCATAAATTATGTTAGGTTGTTGGTTCTATTCATTTGTCTCGTTCATGCCTGAAATAATGAATAGAAAGGGTATATGATATCTTCACTCACATGTAAGCTGGAAAGTCATAAAGACCTTTCACACTACACAAATGTATCTGTTTATGTGACTGAAAACAAAGCTGAAAAAAGGAGATAAAACAATGTTTTATTAAATCTAAATTTTATATGTTTACAGACAGTTGTAAATTTTTGCATGACAGAAGTGATTATAAACATGGCTGGCAACTAGAAAGGGAGATGGAGCAAGGTACATACGGACATGGACGTAAGTACATTGATACAAACACTATATTAATGAGTAATAAGTATATCATCTGTACAATAAAACAAAAATGCTAACAATAAAAGAAAATTTAATCAGTACATGCAAATCTTAACAAATATTTTCTTCAAATTTTTTACAAAATCCCTGTTTGTTTCAGGCAATTTTGGTGTATTATAAAATTCAACATTACATTTTATGAGCTTTGCTGCTGTGGCATTACCATGCTTTTTTAAGGCAGACTGAAACTGTACTGAAGGGATATTAAATTATATAATTTGCGATTACAATGTACATACATGACACATTAAACTTAACACTGGTATAAATTTAATGAAGACAAAATGAAAATTTGCAGGATTTTAAAACAAATTCTGGATCATCCTTCATATAATACATTGAATTCCATACTACTACATTCATATTTAAAATCTAATAATTCATTTAAGTAGCTTTTGTTTAAGCATTGCGTGTTATTTACAAAGTGAAAAATTTACAATGCAAAGAACATGATTAATATGGAAATTAGATAGGTTTTATACATTTAGGGATATGATAAAATTTGTGATTTTGATGACTTGTAACCAGTATAGTAATGTTAGGAAGTTGTTTGTTTTAGAGGAGGAGAATTACGAGATCAGTAGCGATGAGGATGAGCTCCCTTTCAGATGTTTTATATGTAGAAAATCTTTTGTTAACCCTGTCATAACAAAGTAAGTACATTGGTATTGACTATATTCTTTTTAGCTCGACTATTCGAAGAATATGAGAGCTATTGTAGTCGCCCCGGCGTCGGCGTCAGCGTCCGCGTCGGCGTCTGCGTTGGTTAAAGTTTTTTGTAAAGTCAAATATCTCAATTATTACTTGAGATATTCAATTGAAACTTACAATACTTATTTATAGTAACAAGGTACATCAGATTGACAAGTTGGATAACTCTGCCTACAATATTGACAGAATTATGCCCCTTTTTAACTTAGAAATTTTGGTTAAAGTTTTTTGTAAAGTCAAATATCTCAATTATTGCTTGAGATATTCAATTGAAACTTACAATACTTATTTATAGTAACAAGGTACATCAGATTGACAAGTTGGATAACTCTGCCTACAATATTGACAGAATTATGCCCCTTTTTAACTTAGAAATTTTGGTTAAAGTTTTTTTATAAAGTCAAATATCTCAATTATTGCTTGAGATATTCAATTGAAACTTACAATACTTTATTTATAGTAACAAGGTACATCAGATTGACAAGTTGGATAACTCTGCCTACAATATTGACCAGAATTATGCCCCTTTGGAACTTAGAAATTTTGGTTAAAGTTTTTTTATAAAGTCAAATATCTCAATTATTGCTTGAGATATTCAATTGAAATTTAAAATACTTTTTTATAGTAACAATGAACATCAGTTTGCAAAATTGCATAACTCTGTCTGCAAAATTTGCAGAATTATTTGCCCCTTTGAAAGTTAGAAATTTTGGTTAAAGGTCTTCAAAGATATTTACTTGAAACTTTACACATGCACTTAGGGTCATAATTGGAGGGTCATAATTGTATGTCACTGACCAAGTTCCATAACTCTATCTTGCATTAAGGCTGATTCATATTCCCTTTTCTACTTAGTCTCTTGGTTAATGTTTACATGCAAGTTTTACATATCTCAATAACTATTAAAGATATTTATTTAAAACTTCACATATGCATTTAGGGTCATAATTGTAGGTCACAGACAAAGATCCATAATTCTATCTTGCATTTAGGCTGATTTTTCTCCCCTTTTTCAACTTAGAAATTCATGGTAAAGTTTTGCTTGTAAGCTGTTATCTCAATAACTACTGAAGGGTTTGTGCCTTTTTGGAACAATTTTATGCATTCATAATAATAAAGCAGTGATTTACTTGATAAAACATCTTAACCTTTTCCCTTATATAAGCGTGTTTCGACGGCTTTTTGACCCCCCCCCCCCCTTTTTTTGAGGCCTCAAACAGTGAAAAAATGCCCTATTTAGGCCCCCAACACTGTCTTTTGTTTGAGAAATGTTGTTAAAAAAGTGACCATTTTTTCGGCGCCGTCCTCCATCCAAATATTACATCAGGGGGTTGCCAGAAGGGGGATGTGCCCCCTTCTGTTTGGGGGGTTTGAAGGGGGGCGGAGTCCCCCTCATCGCCAAGAAAATTTTGGACTTGTGAGAGGCTTAAAATGACCCCAGGTTGATCATAAGGTAACGTGTAACCAACGCTGAAAAGCCTTTGACTCTATCTCAATCCCTTGAGAAGTTGCAGCACTTTGAAATAAATTTTGATGGAAAAAATGGAGGCAAAAAAGTGATTTTTGGCAATTTTGAGATGTCCCCTCGTTGCCATGGTAACAGGAAATTTAAGACTGAGCATGTCGTTACAAAGGCAATGGTCCAGTCAACATTTGTGCCAAGTTTGATTAGTATTGAAGCATTTTTCATAGTTTCATAGCAGTTTGAACTTGTAACAGGAGGCTTTTCAGTGAAAATGGCCATTTTTCACAATATGCTCATGGGGGAAAGGGTTAATAACAAGCCTTTGTACCTTTTCTGTCAAATTTATGTATTCATAGGTTATTAGTATTATTATACTCAATAAAACACCCTTGTGACATTACCTTCCGAATAGTCAAGCCAATACTGTATAATTGGCCTATAACATGAATTTATAAAAAAAAATTGGCCCTTTAGTGAACTTAAAAAATTTAACATTATGAAGGCTCTTTTACTATCAAGCACTTAGAATAGTCGAGCATGCTGTCCTACTGACAGCTCTTGTTATTCATCTATTTGATGTGCAGAATGTTCCATATTTTAACCACTTATAAGTATACAGTGTGCTATTAAATGCCACTATGGGACTTCAGTCAGTTAAAAATATCAACAATAACATCAGTCAGTAATAACACTGTTAAAATAACATTTAAGTATTATTAGAAATAATATTTATATCATTTGCTGAATTTTAATAACCATTCGATCAGATACATTTTGCAAAATAATTTTGAAGTCTTTGTTAGAATTATTATAAATTGTGCCGTTATTCAGCTTGTGTGGTAATTTTTTTATTAGCTCACCTGAGCTTGCTCAGGGTGAGCTTTTAGGATCGATGAATGTCCGTCGTCCGTCCGGCCGTCCACAATTGCTTGTGAACACTCTAGCGGTCGCATTTTTGCCTAAATCATCATCAAACTTGGTCAGGATGCTTATCTAGTTGAAAGCTCGGATGAGTTCGAACATGGGTCATCTCAGATGAAAAACTAGGTCACAAGAGCTAAAAATAGAAAAACCTTGTGAACACTCTAGAGGTCACATTTTTGACCCAATCTTCATCAAACTTGGTCAGGATGTTTGTCTAGGTGATAGCTCGGATGAGTTCGAACATGGGTCATCTCGGATGAAAAAGTAGGTCACAGGAGCTATAAATAGAAAAACCTTGTGAACACTCTAGTGGTCACATTTTTGAACCAATCATCATCAAACTTGGTCAGAATGCTTGTCTAGTCAATTGCTTGGATGAGTTCGAACATGGGTCATCTCTGATGAAAAACTAGGTCACAGGAGCTAAAAATAGAAAAACCTTGTGACCACTCTAGTGGTCACATTTTTGACCCAATCATCATCAAACTTTGTCAGGATGCTTGTTTAGATAATAGCTCGGATGAGTTCGAATATGGGTCATCTCGGATGAAAAACTAGGTCACCGGAGCTATAAATAGAAAAACCTTGTTAACACTCTAGCGGTCACATTTTTGCATCAATCATCATCAAACTTGGTCAGGATGCTTATCTAGTTGATAGCTTGGATGAGTTTCGAACATGGGTCATCTCGGATGAAAAAGTAGGTCACCGGAGCTAAAAATAGAAAAACCTTGTTAACACTTAAGCGGTCACATTTTTGCATCAATCATCATCAAACTTGATCAAGATGCTTGTCTAGGTAATAACTCGGATGAGTTCGAACATGGGTCATCTCGGATGAAAAAACTAGGTCACAGGAGCTAAAAATAGAAAAACCTTGTTAACACTCTAGTGGTCACAATTTTGACTCAATTGTCATCAAACTTGGTCAGGAAACTTGTCTAGGTCATTGCTGGGAATAAATCGAACATGGGACATCTCGGATGAAAAACTAGGTCACAGGAGCTAAAAATAGAAAAATCTTGTTAACACTCTAGTGGCTACTGTTGTGATCTAAATATTCTGTTAATTGGTCTGAAAGTTTGTTTTGATGATTTCTAAGTCAAGATCGAACATGGGTCATCTTGGATGAAAAACTAGGTCACACCGCCCAAATATGGAAAAACCTTGTTAACATTCTAGTGGTCACATTTTCGACTCCATTATCATCAAACTTGGTCAGAATGCTTGTCTAGGTAATTGCTTGGATGAGTTCGAAATCGCATGTGAAACTAGGTCACCGGAGCTAAAAATAGAAAAATCTTGTTAACACTCTAGTTGCTACTGTTTTGATCCAAGTATCTTGGAAATTGGTCTGAAAGTTTGTTTTGATGATTTCTAGGTCAAGTTTGAATATGTGTCACCTGGGTAAAAAACTAGGTCGCACTGCTCAAATATGGATAATCCTTGTTAACACTGTAGTGGTCACATTTTTGACTCACCTGTCATGAGACTTGGTCAGAATGCTTGTCTAGGTAATTGTTTGGATGAGTTTGATAATTCAGGTGAGCGATCTAGGGCCATCATGGCCCTCTTGTTATTGTTGTATAAAAACTGTAAATGAAGGTTTACATATAAGGTGAAGAAAACATGCATTAAGTGATAAAAAAGAGGGCATATACCACTGCACTATTTTTGATATATTGCATAACTCAGGGTGCTTTGAAAAAATAACTGAAAGCAATGATCATCCTGCTAAAAATGTAACTGTCAAATGACATAGCATTTGCACATGAAAAGCAAGCTTTTTTCATGCATTAACATTTGCAGGAGCCCCCAGATTTATTAAAATTCCTGGCCTATCAGGCTCGAGCTTTAAATGTATCCTCTTGCTTCTACATATGTTACATATAAAAGGTGCATGAACTCTCTTTTTTCATACCCATTTTCATATTTGATAGAATAGTATTAATGTTTAGGTATTGTTATTTATATTTTCATAATAAATGGTCATTCTTTTACACTGATATATTACAATATACAATTTGTTATGTAAACAATTAACTTGTCTGTTCTAAAAATAGTGGGGCTATCCTTCTATATGGGATGTCAGCTTCAGGGTAACACTTTGGTTAATGTTTTACATGCAGCATCTTGTTCAACTCATGAACTATTTAAGATATTTGGTGTGCAAGTTCACACAGGTCTTTGAGGTCATAATGGGGGTCATTATCCAAGGCCATTAACTCTAGCATTAATTTTGACAGATTTATTGCCCTTTTTGTCTTAAAAAATTTCTGTTTAAATTTTTAAACTACTAAAGGTATTTGTGCAGCTGAAACTTAATGCATGTATTTGGTATCATAAAAAGTCACCAACAAAGGCATATAAAATGGATATTGCTTTTGACTGAATTATGGCCCTTTGTGAAATAAGAAAGTTCTTGGTTTATGTTTTGTATGAACATCAATCTTCAAAACTATAGAAGGTATTCACTTGAATCTAGATACATGTATATTGATGACCAGAATTGGAAGTAAATGTCTAAGCCTGTAAGGCCTATAACTTTGACTTGAATTTTGACTGATTTATGGCCCTTTGTGTGCATGTGTAAATTCTAAGGTCAATATCCAAACCTCTCTTTGTTGATACCTACATTATGAAAGTTGTTATTTTACATTTAATAAAGTGAATAGTCAAGCAGCTGACACTTGCCTCTTTAAACTTCCTTCAGTTTTAGTGCATGCATATTTGTTGTCAAAAGTTTATAAACCGTAACAAGGTAGCATTCATTTCATCGTGAATTTGAGCATTTGTTGATGTATTCTGTTTTGTATTTATCTAGATGTAAACATCATTTTTGTGAAAAGTGTGCATTGTCGCAGTACAAAAAGTCTCAGAGATGTTTTGTTTGTAATGAACAGACCATGGGAGTATTTAACCCGGCAAAAGGTAATACACAATTTCAAATAGATTATGGTATCCACAAAAGTGTGGCAGCTGTGAATGATTTAAAACATGTGGTATGACGAGCATAGAAAGTTCTGTTCAACTTTTATTATATGGTCAAATGTTTGTTATGTGGTGCGGAAATGTTGAACATTGAGTGCTGTCTTGATACTGATACATAAATATATTTATATCATAATTGATCTTTCATAGTTTTGTCTTCCTTTACTGTGAGCAGTGTTAGATAAGTTGTGTTGTCATCTATGACAGGTTTTGTATAAAAGATGTGTTAATTAGAATATTTCATTCTGTAAAAGTTGTTTTAAAGCCAATGAAAATATGTAGCAACACATGGAATTGTGAACATTTCTATGCTTCTGAAACTTTTATTGCAATTAATCAAACAAGAACTTGAAGAAAAAAGATGACATTCAAATGTTTATAGAGAGAAGATTTGAGCTCAATTTTGCATTGATGAAAAAGATTCTTTCCTTTACCAATAAAGTATTTTCATTGTCAAATTGTTCTTTCAAGCTTTATATATCAGAAACTTTATCTCCCCTACAGAATTGATTGCCAAATTAAAGAAAAGGAAGGAAGAAGGAATTGCAGACCCTGATAGTGATAGTGATGATGATAATGACTGACAACACTCCCTACAAGATTCAGTTGTGTTCAAAATGTTGCTTACTAAGCAATGCCATCCTGACAATTGGTCAATGTAATGCATAAATGTACATTTACATTTACCAATTTAGTGCTCAGATTGATGATCATAATATTAGTGAAGTGGAGGAGTTTATTTATTTGAGTTCAAAACTTAGCATGCAGATGACAAATACTGCAAAATCATTATTATACTTTGTGCACTTATTTTCTTGGATAGGTCAATCCGTGAATTAAAGATTCAACGAAATTTCATTTTGTCTGCTGTAAGATTATATTGCATCACATTATTTACATTTTACCTTTTGGAAAAATAAACAGTCCACAAATTTAAGTGCCCACAAAAATAATTGTTCTTTATGACAAAAGCACGAAATTTCATGTCCACAAAATTAAGTTAATTCACAGTATGATGGATTTTCTTTATTTATCCTTTTTTTGTTTTATAAAGAACATAATAGTGTTTATCAACACCTTAAAAATGAATAAATTCTAGAACTGACGTGATTGTTATTGATGTTTAATATCTTTATATTTAATCTAATCGTAAATATCTGTATTATAATGAAATATGTGAAATAAAAAATAATCATGTACAATACCAGCTGATATAAGATAGGGCTGAATGTCAGTAATATTTTTAGAATAAAATTCTTGTATCAGCTTATTTTCTTTGTTTACTGTTTTATTAATATTGCACAGAATTTAGCCAATGACTAATTTTCTTAATTAAAAAAAAAGTTTACTGAAGAAGACTAACCGTTGAAAGCTGTAGAAAAGCATTTGTTTTCATTGAACTGATATATTATATATATTAGTTATTCCAAGTCTCAGTTGAAATTAAACACTTTATACTCTTGATTGACTTTAAGGTGAAACATCCATATAATGAACTTTTTGTTTCCAAACTAATTAGTTTCAGGTTTTCTTAAAATTTAACTTTAAATAATGAAAATATATAATAATATTCACTAGGTTACCATATATTCTTAGTAACATTCATTTATAAGCTTGACTTTTTCGAAGAATTAATTATGAGTTGTCGATCCTGTTGCTGTCCAGAAACTTCAATATTTTATATCTTAATGAAATATCTTCATACTTTGATTGAACAAGTCTTTTGCTACCATCAATTTATTATTAAACCTTAAATTTGTTTATGTTACCCCACCTAAGTGGAGCTCTTGTTATGTATTGATTGGTGTTAGTCTGTGCTGCTCCTGCTTGGTCCTCTTTAAAAGATTTATAATCATTCCACTGTAGTATAACTTCAACCTATATTGGACACAAATATTTATTACCTTGCTATGCAACATCCAAAATTTATACTACTACAGTCGCAACAAGTGTTGCTGACTTTTCTTTTCAGAATGACACTGTTTCTTCATTATTTGTCTGATAATGAATTGTTCTGTAGGATATGGGACTTACTTGGCGTCCATTTAATGTTGTTTCTTAGTCAGTCTGTCTGTCTGTCTGTCTACGGGTTCAAATATATTTCTGTCATATGCTGTTTAATTTACAAATAATACAATGTTTTATGTAAGTATGGACAGTCAATAGGTGCCCACCTTTTCTACATACTGTTCAGAATTAACACCATTAGTGACAAAAGTATACCTAGAATTAACACCATTAGTGACAAAAGTATACCTGACTGATGATTTTTAAAAAAAATAGATAAAAACAGAATCCCTAAAGAAAGCCCAACGCGGCAAAATTGAAAATGTTGCAGGCTCGGTTTGATTGAGCCTGTTCATGAACGGTACTGTCAAGTGCAAACTACCGTCCACGCCCCTTTAACATTTAAACATGAAATAGTAAAATTTTGAATTTAGAAACATCCGCAGATGTGTTCATACGGCGGTTATCATGGAACCTTCAATGTGACACTTCCTTGCCATTCCATGAAAAGCGGCGTATGGTCCCCGAGTAATAAAAAGCGTGTGCCCTAAACGAGAAAACAATGCGCGGAACTAAATAAAATGGAATTTTGAAAGGGGATCAGAGGTTATGAAGCCTGCGTATCACATATAAGACGTCAAAAGACAAATTTAAAAAGCAGGCAACATATCCTAAGGGTGATTCAACATTATTCAAGTAGGAATATTGGAACCACCCAACTAGAAAATGCCGTAAAGTTGCAACTAAAAATACTACAAACACAACAAAAATGTCGTGCTGAACGATCTTCAAGGATCGAAAATATAACATCATTGATTAAATGTACGGGGGGA